GGTTGACATATGACACAGATTGAAAAAAAAAAATAAACACGTTGACATAACTAAAGAATAAAAATTATAGCAACTAGATAAAGAGCAATTGTGTGCGCTTTGTCACCCCACGTTGTTTACAGCGTGAATTCTAATATTTAAACCTACGGACGATTCAAACTAATGCAACTCAAATAATAAACGAAGCAAGTATGAACTGACGGAATGCAAACACAAAATCTAGCCATGCGAATTCTAGAAGTGTAATAAAACGCGACAACAAAACCGAAGTAACATAATATCCACAAAAAGTCGTGTCACGAACGCAAATACCTCAGTGGCACTGCAATAAGTAAGTGGAGTGCTATATGACATGAAGAAGAAGCGTGCTCAGTTACGTCGGAGAAGAAATAAACGTGTCTTGTTGCGACGAAGAAGTTCAGGGAGGAAAAATACAGTCAATTGGTCAACAACAGCCTCTAACCATTGCTTGTCTTTATTGCCAACGAGGCAACCGAGCTAAGAAGCGAGGTTGACTCGGCGGCAGAATTATAACGTCGCGCAGTGTAGGCAAAAACCCTCAAATTCTGCGTAACCCTCTAAAATTTGCATTTTTGACCATATTTGGGTGTAAGTAAGACCCGATATTTGGGTAGTGACGTCATGGTCTTGTATTTACAACTCGTGGTCCGAAATTGGGTGATTCAGTATGCAGCTGTTCGTTGTCTATTCAAGAGGACCTAACAGGTGAGCAAGCTTTAATACGATTTCTAGTTTGAAAGGGCAATTCATTGCTCTGGTTTGCTTTATAAATTATGTTTAAAGCAGCAGCTTTAAAAAATAGGGTTTTATGCTCAAATTTTGTCAGAACCAGCTTGTTCTCTGCATCTCGATTTACATTGAGGTAGCGTGTTCGCTTCTCGACTCAGAACCAGGGTTTTCAGTGTTCTCTTTTCCTTTGTGAATTGAATTTTAAGCGGTAGTTGATCAAGGCATAGGGTTATATTCTCAAAACTTTTATCAGAACCAGCGTGTTCTTCGCAGGTCGATTTACGTTGAGCCAGTTTTCACCTCCCGTGAGGAATGCAACGTATTTGCGGACCTTTTAGTTAAGAATTTATTCGAGAGATTTTGTCAACCAGCATTGCTGCTCGACTTACATTGAGACAGCCCAAAACTCCCGTGAGGAATGCAACGAATTTGCGGACCTTCTCTTTTGATGACTATCATTATGCCTTTCAAGAGACTCTTTGTCCTGTGACATTTGCTCATTAGATCTTTGTATTTTATTCAAGTTTATATTTTTATACCTTTGATACATTCCGCCCCATTCTTGCGCTTTTCACACATTTTACTTTACACCAATTTTTTCTTACGTATAGTATTACCACGCGAAACATTTCAATTTCTTATCCCTGATGACGCTGTTGTTCGGAATTTAATTACCGTATTTATTCGATTAACCGACCCGGGCGCTTATTAAATTTTTGGACCTTAAGAGTGGGCGCTTATTCAAGGCTGAGTTCTTATTAAATTTTCAGCATTTTCAGCAAGTGTAGTATGTTTATTTTGCAACAAAACAATAAATGGTAATGACAAAACGCGAAGATGTAACAAAGCAAGGTTCCTGTAAAATATTTTGAAGAAAACTCCGTCTTCGGGGAAGTCTCTTATTAGTACTTATTCAATTTTGGGGGGGTGGGGTGGGGGTGGTCGCTTATTTGAGTTTAAGTGGGAGTGGGAGAGAGGTGGGGTAGGGTGGGCGCTTATTCGAGATTGTGCGCTTATTAACTTTTTCTGCCTTTAGGATGGGCGCATATTCGAGGTTGGGCGCTTATTCGAATAAATACGGTATTGTTTATAATTTCAGCAGTCAAAGGCCTAATTTGAACTATCTTTTTCTTTCTAACGTTTATAGTTTTGATACAATTGAATTTTCCATGAAACATAAGTACTAACTTGCTCATATTTACAAACAAAGCTTCAAGCCATGTTGTTATTGTTTAATAATTAAAAAGTGAAAGCCTACAATGTACCAAAGTTGTTGTTTTGAAGTTGGGTGCCATCATTTTCTACAGCGGAATCCATTTTAAACCTCTAAAATTATGAAAAAAATATATATACAGTCTACTCTCTCTTAACGGACATCTGTATAAGATGGACACCTCTGTAAAACGGACACTCAGAGTTGGTCCCTGCCTTTCTTTGCTTCCTATATTTGACTCTCTATAAGACGGACATCTCTCTAAGACGGACACATACTGCAGGTCCCCAAGGTGTCCGTTTTAAAAAGAGTTGACTGTATATGGCGAAGATCTGAATGGGCACATTTCACAAAAGATAAACGAATTCGCCTCGTTGGCACTTGCCGGAAGGTACTCCTAGTATTATAGTTTATTAGTACGTATTCAAAATATATCGTACAAAATCGGTAAATGCAGTTTTATGAACACGTGTTTTAGGAAGATCGTAATTAGTTTAAAAATAGTCCTCTGAGAGGACGAGAGAGCTCGTTTCCTTTAATATGATGTTTGGAAGGTCATTCCACACAGACGCAAACACTTCAATACGTTTTAAAATAAGCGACCCCATTTAATATCATTTTACTATTTTGAAAAGCTCTTAGAATAACGTTCAGCATCAAATTCCTCCTTTTCATAACAACGCTTTATAAACCAGAGTGGTCATAAGAACAAAGTAGACGTTCATGACTTAAATCAAATCTATAACAACTCCCAACTACTTCTGTACGAAATGTATTAAGGTAACAAATGACAATTTATACTTTGATATTAAGGTTATGTGTTAGTGCACGTACGAGAACAATAAAAATGATCTTAAAGACGGAGATTCGGATACCCTAACAGAGACTCTGACATAGTAGCTTACTGGCTATAAAAAGCCAGTAAGCACAATATGAGACTGCTCGCAGTCTAGGAGGCGATTAATTATACACGAAACAGGATTTCCTTGCTAAACGTTTTTCACTTCCTGCTTTGTCGACGGTCGAGTATTCTTCAGGGTATTTACTTTTTACATTGTATTCCACGATTTGTTCCTGATTTGATTAGAACTCGCGCGTGTTTAAATACACGAAATCAAGGAAACGTGATGAACATGGCGCGTCATTTCAATCATCGCCGAAAATAAACCGCACATCACAAGTACATGTACATCACAAAACTCAGTTGCATAAAATGAAAGTTTACAACAACTGATCAGTTGACCTCTTTTTCTCGAACACTGAAGTAATAACTTGTTCCAAAGTGATCAATGCTTTCAAGCGATAGAATTTGTGGACCGACCCGCTCCGGAAAAGCTCAATATCTTTCGCAGCTTGCTATTCTATGCGTAGCTTTCGCCACTCCGCGATTCTTATCCCCAGTTTTCACGGTCTCCGCAAGGAACGCCCTGGGACCATGCTTTAGCACGCACACACGAAAAAAAAAAAAAGAAAGAAAGAAAGAAAAAGAAAGAAATGCCTACATTTTAAGAGTCTCGCAGCTAAAGCAGACGAGACTAACAAGCCAGTTTCGGCCTTCGACCGCGTGTAAATTAATATTGACAATCAAGCTCTTTAGTTACCCTATTTTACTTGTTAACTCGCTTCTACAATGCTCTAGAACTTTTTACCAAGTCCACAAAGGAGCACACTGCATTAACCCACAATTCATTTTTAAATCTAAAGAATGCTGGCCGCATCTTCCGCTTGAGGGTGGAGTTTACACTGTGGCAGTGAAAGAAAAGGGCTTTTGATACCGTACTTTCAACAAGACATATCAAACAAAACAAACGAGATGTTCAACAGGTATGCATTGAATTAAAACCGATATTTACTCTGTTGTGTGTACCTAACGTACTGACGGTTCCATTCACACAATACAAAATCTCCCAAGCCCGGTATTTTTCTACTCGCTACAATAAAACTACCGTGAAGTTCCAAAAATAAGTCTCTCCATGTATAAGCCCCTCCAAATATAAGCCCCCCACACCGGTAACGCAAAAAACCCTCCGTTAAACCGCCCCTCCAAATATAAGCCCCCCGGGGGCTTGTACTTGGAAAATTGCCCTCAAAGACAAAGTAAAACAAAGCAAAAACGGTAAATTTAATTTCAACTATAAGGCTAGCCCAATCGATTTTGAAACGCAAATTTCCCTCCGTAGATAAGCCCCTCCGAATATAAGCCCCTCAAAAAGGGCCTTCGAAAAGTACAAGCCCGGCCCCGGGGCTTATTTTCGGAATTTTACGGTATGTTACTCTAAAACAAGACAAATACTGTGACAAACATAAAATTAAAGAGCGAGCCGATGGCGCCAGCGAATTTAAAATATAAAATCCTTGAATGAAAGAGAGGTTCTTGGAGGTTTCTCAGCATGCTGCTATACTTGTGTTACTTGACTTGAGCGGTGCCTTTGACACTGTTGATCATTGTGTTTTGTTGCGTAGACTTCAAACTTCATTTGGAATTTCTGGAGCACCATTAGATTGGTTTAAGTCGTACTTGTCAACAAGAAGTCAACGTGTTTCCATTCCCGGCGCCCTCTCTGACAGTCTTCCTCAAGGGTCCTGTCTTGGTCCCTTGTTGTATACCATCTACTCTTCAAAGCTATTTAACATCATTGAACGTCACCTTCCAAATTCTCACTGTTATGCGGATGACTCACAAATATATTTGTCCTTCAAGCCCGATGACTTGTCAAGTCAACAAAATGCTATAACTGCCATGCAAAATTGCATTGACGACATTCGCTCATGGATGGAACACGACAAACTCCTTCTCAACGATGAAAAACGGAGTTTCTCGTCATTGGCACCCATGGATGGAACACGACAAACTCCTTCTCAACGATGAAAAACGGAATTTCTCGTCATTGGCACCCGGCAACAGTTATCTAAAGTTAATATTTCTTCGATCACCGTGGGAAACTCTGCTATAATGAAATCGTCAGTTAAGTTAGGAACCTCGGCTCGTAAACTGATGACAAGCTGTCAATGAACTCCCACATCAACAAAGTCTGTAATGCATCAGTTTACTATCTCCACAACATTAGGCGGATAAGAAAACACCTATCACGTGACTCCTCAGAGACTTTGATTCACGTGTTTGTCTTCAGTCGATTAGATTACTGTAACAGTTTAATCTACGGATTGCCACTGGTACAAATTGATAAGATTCAAAAAGTTCAAAACGCAGCTGCAAGGCTTATTTTTGAGCAACCTAAGTTTTGCCATATAACACCAGTCTTATCTCAGCTTCACTGGCTTCCCAACAGGTATCGCATTGAGTTTAAGATTTTACTGATGACTTTAAAAGCTATTCACGCCATGGCGCCAGATTATCTTTGCAAATTGATCAGCCGAAAAAAATCAACTGGATATTACCTCAGATCCAGCAAAAAAGTTACGCTTGAGGTTCCAAGCGGCAAGATACTCCCAACACTTGGTGGTAGAGCATTCTGTTATGCGGCCCCAAAGGTCTGGAACAACCTACCTAGCGAAATATCCAGCCTTGACTCTCTGTCAAATTTTAAATGCCATGTGAAAACATATCTTTTTAAACAATCTTTTAATTTGTAGTGTTGTATTTGTTTCGTTTATTTTATTATTTGTCACTTATTCTTATTTCATTTCATTTTTAAATCTTTCTACTTGCTTGTGAATTTTATTCATTTTTAGTCTTTCTTTTTAACTTATTGTAAAGCGCATTTGATCATGTCCCATGGAAAGCTGCGCCATATAAGTTTTTATGATTATTAATTATTAATAGTTTCACATCGGAAGTTAGATGGTATGCCCCGTCCTCTTGCATTCTTATCAAACAAGTTTATTATTTTGCACTTTCGTATACATTAATGCCATGAAATCTTGTAGCATCTTGAAAATAACGTAATAATGAACATTTAGCATTAACTAACATCTCTGGTCCATTAGCTGTGCGAATAAATCCGCCATTACATGAACTGCCGGATAAATATGAAATATGTGCTGTCGAACAGGAGATGCGCCAAGTGAAGAATCAGTATCTGAAGGAAAAGCTTGATGAGGTAAGAGCTCGATTTCTGGAAAAAAATTGAGAGCTGTGGACCTTGCCACTTAGAAAGGCGCGTCTAGTTGGTTTACCGTTTTGCCAATTAGAGATATAGACTTTGATTTAAACAAGAGTGAGTTTCGAGATGCTGTGAAACTTCAAGAAGACTGGGAAGTTCCTGATTCACCCTCTGTTTGTGTTTGCGGGGACATTTTCATATTTTTTTCAGGCTATGATATGCAAAGGGGGTGGATTTGTCATCCAACGCTATAATTAACTGAGGAATCTTGAGGCGAAACTGCCTATGGCCTATATATTCTGTAGTTGCTACCGGTCACAACTTCAAAAGACAATGCCAATTTTTAGGTATATTCCTTTGGTTGGCTTTCCAATGATCTCGATCCCAGGCTGTCCCTTGTTTTAAAAGCTGACAATGATCTCGTTAGCCCCGGCAAAATTTGCGGGAATACCAAGTAAGTTTCCTAAGATCTATTCAAGTAATTTTGCTCTATTCAGTACTACAAACTCGTTCTAAGTTAAGTGCAATTAAATATTAATAAAATTAGTTAAAATTCTTTATTACCCATGTCCTGATGAACTGCAGAGAGGTGATAGTTTATATGTAAAGCTTTGGATACTTGCATTTCATCAGCAAGAGGAATACGTTTTGCGGGTACAGTAAAACACGTCTCGTCCAAATGATCTGTGAAAATAGACACAAGACAATCCATCAATCAATCAATCAGTTTTAGAGTTTAATTCTCCACAGTTGTCAGGAGCCGATTAATAGGAGCCTTCATATCCCATATAATCCCTTGGAGTCAACCCTTTCCGGTGAGAAATTATTTATAGAAACAGCTATGGCGGAATATTTTCACGCCTTCTTAGTAATATTCAATCAGAGCAGAGCTATCATTATACGTCAAAAGTTGGGTCACGCGCGATTTAAAAGCACTGCAAACTGTCGGGTTAGAAACGCCTTAAAGCCTTGTAGGAAAAGAAAATGTAGATATACTCTCACAACGTCTTCAAGTTTGCTTGTGATCTTGACAATTAGCTACATATTTTAAGTTTTATCACAAACAAGAACGCTCTTAATAGAGTTGAGGAACATTTGCTTGGAGATAAGATAAGAAGCGAGGATGCCATTAGACCGCAAGCAATCGTCCTTCTTTCCCCAGAACCACGAGCGGCGAGCGAAAAAATAAAATTATGCTCTCGACCACCCTGCCAGCAGAGTCTTTCTTTATCTTCTTCAAATTCAGCGTACTTGAGAAAGGTTCTGCATGAATCGAGTAAGACCTTTGTTGAGCATGCGCTGCACGTTGCAAGGACACAGTTTCGAACTCAGGCCTTACAGTCGTGCGCTTGTTATAGTGCGCTCTATGACCAGCGGTTTATTGATAAATGGATGCTCGCACTCAACCAGTGTGACGAGAGAAAACAAAATTCACAAGTTCAGAAATTTGGGCTGAGGTGACCTCAAAGGTTTGACGCGCTTCAGGCTCAGCCTCTTTTTCTCCGCCTCAATCAAGAAAAAAGACAGAAGGAAGCTCTGCTCGCAGGATGGCTCTCGACCTACTGTGACTCCACAGGAAAAAAAATAGTCCTCTGAGAGGACATGTCTTTATACTGGCAATGAATAGTCTGTACTTTAGTGAGCACCAATGGAGGTGTAGATGCTTTGTCGTGGCAAGTGACAACGGCATACTTACTGAACAATGTTTAGCGAAAACTACGTGCTTGCAAAACAACAACATCAAAAACTAGCTCTTTGGACAGAGCATGTGGTTTCAGTTTTATTTATTTATTTACTTACTTTCTGCTTTTGCTATGCAACACGTTTTTCCCGTTGGAGTTTTTTACTGCTTTGGGACAAATGCAATACGCGTATGATACAAATAACTTAACCTGCTTTACCAAATAAACTATGAATGAATGAATGAATGAAAAATGAATGCTTACACTAGTGACAGTTTCGTTACAAGAAGAAGAAGATGAAGAAGAAGAAGACGAGAAGATTTAATTCACTCAGCTGCGTTGACATATGACACAGATTGAAAAAAAAAAACAAATAAANTAAAGCTTTGGATACTTGCATTTCATCAGCAAGAGGAATACGTTTTGCGGGTACAGTAAAACACGTCTCGTCCAAATGATCTGTGAAAATAGACACAAGACAATCCATCAATCAATCAATCAGTTTTAGAGTTTAATTCTCCACAGTTGTCAGGAGCCGATTAATAGGAGCCTTCATATCCCATATAATCCCTTGGAGTCAACCCTTTCCGGTGAGAAATTATTTATAGAAACAGCTATGGCGGAATATTTTCACGCCTTCTTAGTAATATTCAATCAGAGCAGAGCTATCATTATACGTCAAAAGTTGGGTCACGCGCGATTTAAAAGCACTGCAAACTGTCGGGTTAGAAACGCCTTAAAGCCTTGTAGGAAAAGAAAATGTAGATATACTCTCACAACGTCTTCAAGTTTGCTTGTGATCTTGACAATTAGCTACATATTTTAAGTTTTATCACAAACAAGAACGCTCTTAATAGAGTTGAGGAACATTTGCTTGGAGATAAGATAAGAAGCGAGGATGCCATTAGACCGCAAGCAATCGTCCTTCTTTCCCCAGAACCACGAGCGGCGAGCGAAAAAATAAAATTATGCTCTCGACCACCCTGCCAGCAGAGTCTTTCTTTATCTTCTTCAAATTCAGCGTACTTGAGAAAGGTTCTGCATGAATCGAGTAAGACCTTTGTTGAGCATGCGCTGCACGTTGCAAGGACACAGTTTCGAACTCAGGCCTTACAGTCGTGCGCTTGTTATAGTGCGCTCTATGACCAGCGGTTTATTGATAAATGGATGCTCGCACTCAACCAGTGTGACGAGAGAAAACAAAATTCACAAGTTCAGAAATTTGGGCTGAGGTGACCTCAAAGGTTTGACGCGCTTCAGGCTCAGCCTCTTTTTCTCCGCCTCAATCAAGAAAAAAGACAGAAGGAAGCTCTGCTCGCAGGATGGCTCTCGACCTACTGTGACTCCACAGGAAAAAAAATAGTCCTCTGAGAGGACATGTCTTTATACTGGCAATGAATAGTCTGTACTTTAGTGAGCACCAATGGAGGTGTAGATGCTTTGTCGTGGCAAGTGACAACGGCATACTTACTGAACAATGTTTAGCGAAAACTACGTGCTTGCAAAACAACAACATCAAAAACTAGCTCTTTGGACAGAGCATGTGGTTTCAGTTTTATTTATTTATTTACTTACTTTCTGCTTTTGCTATGCAACACGTTTTTCCCGTTGGAGTTTTTTACTGCTTTGGGACAAATGCAATACGCGTATGATACAAATAACTTAACCTGCTTTACCAAATAAACTATGAATGAATGAATGAATGAAAAATGAATGCTTACACTAGTGACAGTTTCGTTACAAGAAGAAGAAGATGAAGAAGAAGAAGACGAGAAGATTTAATTCACTCAGCTGCGTTGACATATGACACAGATTGAAAAAAAAAAACAAATAAACACGTTGACATAACTAAAGAATAAAAATTATAGCAACTAGATAAAGAGCAAGTGTGTTCACTTTGTCACCCCACGCTGCGTGAATTCTAATATTTAAATCTGCGGACGATTCAAACTACTGCAACTCAAATAATAAACGAAACAAGTATGAACTGATGGAATGCAAACAGAAAATCTAGCCATGCCAATTCTAGAAATGTAATAAAACGCGACAACAAAACCGAAGTAACATAATATCCACAAAAAGTCGTGTCACGAACACAAATACCTCAGTGGCACTGCAATAAGTAAGTGTCGTGCTATACGACATGAAGAAGAAGCGTGCCCAGTTACGTCAGAGAAGAAATAAACGTATCTTGTTGCGACGAAGAAGTTCAGGGAGAAAAATACAGTCAGTTTGTCAACAAGAGCCTTTACATTGTAGCCGTTGCTTGTCTCTATATTATTGTTTATTAGTACGTATTCAAAATATATCGTACAAAATCGGTAAATGCATTTTTATGAACACGTGTTTTAGGAAGATCGTAATAAGTTTAAAAGTAGTCCTCTGAGAGAACGAAAGGGCTCGTTTCCTTTAATATGATATTTGAAAGGTCATTTTACACAGACGCAAACATTCTGCATTTCGATAAGTTTTAAAATAGGCGACCCCATTTAATATCATTTTACCTTTTTGAAAAGCTCTTAGAATAACGTTC